ATGCTTCCAAGGAAAAATCTTGATCAAAAGGGGAGGAAAATATAAAAAGTGACATCGACGAAGCCACTGGACAACGGGCCCGGAGCTGCCATCGCAGAGGAACTGCCTCGCACGTCTGCCTCTGACCTCTGGGATGTTACAACAGGACTCGGCCTAAAGCGACACTGTCCCGAAGAACCGTTTCCACGGAAAACGAGAAAGCAGGTATGACTGCCAGACTGAAAGTTAAAAAGCGTTTAGAATCAGCGTCACTGTTACCTTTTCTGCACCAACAGAAACGCCTTCCTTCGGCAACCGGAGTGTCCTACAACAGATGACCGGCTAAAGCTGCGGTGCATACATACGGTGCAACGAGACTCAGCCGTGAGAAGAGATGAAATACTGCCATTTGCAAGAACGTGGAGGGGCCTTGAAATCATCATATGAAGCGAAAGAAGCCAGACAGAAAAGGCTGAAAATCACATGATATCACGTATACGTGGGACATAAACCTAAAAACAACAAAGGAACAGGACAAAGAAACAGAGACTCGGGGACATGGACAATGGACTAGTGGTTACCAGGCGGGGAGGGGGCAGGGAAGTGGGGGGGAAGGTAAAAAAATAAAATGTTAAAAAAGATTTTTAAAAAAGACAAAAAAAAAAGAAAAATGACTCCATGAACTACTCATAATTAATTGCTGAAAAATGGTGTAAGCAAGTCTTCTAAACATAATTATATGAATTTGCTTTATTCATCCATTCCCAATATCAAGGTAATTTGTATATATGTGTATATGTATACATACGTATGTATATACAGGTATGTATACACACACACGCACACACACGTGTATATACACTGAAAAATATGCTCTCAGCAATAAAAATGACCAACATGAAAAAAAAAGGCCTTCCTTCTATGGACGTCATCGTCCCTTCCCTCTCTCACAAACACCCCCTGCCTCCGTTTCCCCAAAGCTATTGGGCTTCTGTCCGAATCGGCGCTTCCCGAAGAGCGATTCTTTGATCTCAAATAAATGCGTGTTGCCTCCCGTGCTGGAAGGCCTTGTTTTTAATGTGAACATCTCCTAATACAGCAAAAAGCAAACTGTGTCT